TCTCCTAAACACAATCTCAATTTAAACTATCTTTTTTTTTACATACACACATATATATATATATATACATACATATATATATATATATACATATATATATATATATATATATATATATATTTATTGAGTATTCAATATAATTATTAAATACAGCTTTGAAATTACCTAAATGTATATTTCTTTATAACTGTGATATTAATTTTTAATCTGAAATGAAATTAATTACATTTAAATCTCTTCACTCTTATTGAAAATTGTATCATTTCAAAATTCAACTCAAGGTTATGTTTCATGAGTTATACCCGTTTAGTCAAACAAACATTTTATATGACATCATACACAGCTGTATTGTATGAATGAAATGAGTATGAAACTGTGAATTTTAAGGATACATCAGAATATATGACCCCACAGGAAAACTGTGAATTTTAAGGACACATGAGAATGTACATGACCTAATAACAAGTTAGTATAAGGCTTGCATTGAAATTAAATGTTTCGTATGCCTTAATATCAATCGATCTTAGTTCATGCTAAATGCACCACCTCATCAAAGTATGGGTTATTTTATTTTCTTACTTTTGATTTGAAAATTTTAAGAAATTAACCTTTCATATATATATATATATATATATATATATATATATATATATATATATATATATATATATATATATATATATATATATATTTTTAAGTAAACCCTCTTTTAATTCTTAATTTTAGTGTGGGTGTATTTGGAGTAAAAAAAACATAAGAAAGTTGTTTAGGTATTGTATAATTTGTTATATAGTATTATTATTTTTTTCATTAGATAACTATCGTAGTTTTATCTAATTTTGGAGTTTTCATGTTATATTCTTATGTTGATCTTATTTATTTATAGGTGGAGTAATTATTAGAAGTAAAGACATTGATGTTCCAATCAAAGCGGTATCAAGAGTTTATGATTCACTAAGATATTCTTAGTATACTCTATGGTTGCAGCTTAGTCAAATCTCTCACTAGAAAAGATTAATTCTTTGTTGTTGGAGAGTCATCATTAGTTGTTGATGTTGCAATGACATTTACAATTGATGTCAAATGTGACCGAAAAAATGGATGGAAGGATCATAGTCGGCAAAGATGTCATCGTGTTGGTGTAGTGAATCTACAACCAGGTTTGTGGAGGTCTGGTAAGGTGCAAGCGTGGATTTGTGGAGCTTTTCATAGTGGAACTTGCAATGAATCACTCAATGTTTGCTGAAGTTTAGTGGTTGAGCGATGGTGACTAGTGTGCTTTTTGTGAACTACAGGGAAGTCTAGTGTTACTCCAGTGATTGCAGCATTTTTGGCGAGCTACAAGGAGGATCGATGCTGGTTGTATGTATTAGGATGAGTCTTTGCTAGCAATAATTATGCATGGGCATTGGCTAATGTTGATGTAGGATGTTTTGTGATTATGCACGAGTATTGATTAACATTAGTGTAGGATGTGTAGTAATTATACATAGGCATTCGCTAATAATGATGCAAGATGTATGGTGATTATACACGAACATTTGTTAGCATTGATGCATGGTATGTGGTATGTGGTGTTTATGCATGAGTATTGACTAATATTGATGCAGGGCATGTGATGATTATACATGGGCATTAGTTAGCATTGATGTAGGTTTGCAATGAAAGGAAATCTTGGAATAGTTTAATTTCAAGTGTGTATACTCTTTTATGGTTGACTATGATTGTTGGTCTAAGCAATGGAGACAAAAAGGAAGATACGTTTATTTTAATCATGGTGGAGATTGTTGAGTTCATGAAAAAAATACATTTTGGAAAGTTCACATCACCCAATATAAACAATTGCGTGGGTGATAGTGGCTATATAATGGAATCTAAGTTCATTTTTTAGATGTCTCAAGTCAAGGACATTTTAAGCTTGTATTTGAATTCTTTTATACTCATTTAGTATAGTGATGTGAGGTTTGGGTTAAATTCTTGCTTTGGAGAGTGCGAGTGTACTTGGGGTCAAAGAGCATAGGAGAGTTATTTATGTGTTGTAAAAATTTTCACGTAACGTTATTCTCTGGTTGTCATTAGACAACAATTGTGATTTTTCTTTGATTTTGGAGTTTCCACATTATATTCTTGTATTTATCTTATTTTTCTATTGATAAGGTAATTCTTGAGGGTAAAGATGTTGATGTTCTTCTTAATGACACATTTTTCCCTGTCATATACCTCTTAGTGGAATATGACATAAGCTTTAACTCTATTTGGATCCACACATCGCGAGTTCGCAAGCTCCTCACCGTAAAGCTATCAACCTCGTCGTTAATCACCAACAAAACCCAAATTACGCTTCAACCTGCAGAGAATACGAAACCCTAATATGAATTCCTCTCATAATCCTCCTTCTTAGCAAGCTTAATTGCGTCACCATAGCCTCTCCATCGCGTCGCAACGGTGAATCACCTACAAATCGAAACCAACAAGAAATCGCGTTCTTGTGAGCTTCACGTGAACCTCATCTTCTCTAAGGAACCTTATGCATTGCCTCCATTAGCTTCTTGAACTTGCAAAATTGAAAAGACCACGTATGCAATGCGTCATCGTGATAAAATCAACAATTACTAGAAAACCTTCTCCATGTCCTTGCGACATAAGAATCTCCCTCTACATTAGAACCCTAATTTAAGTGGGGAATTACACGTCATAATTTAAATTTTATTTTCACGTAATAAAATCATCCAGATCAACATGTCTAACTTACACCACATCAACAGGTTTTGACGTTGTTTCTTACCATTTAACGGAAATAACTTAATTGTTACTAATTTACAAAAGTTAAGACCTAATTGAGACACTTTTAAACAAGAGGACCAAAATGAGATTCTTGAACAAATATGAAGATCATCCGACTATTTAAACCTAATAATGAACTATATTTTTCCACTAGAGATTATAATAAAACTTAGGATTTGATAAATGTTTTACTTATTTATAGAGTTCGTCCGATCTCAACAAGTTACAAATAATTTATAGGATAATGAAGCAGCATGGATACACATAAACACAATAAGAGAAAAAGAAACAAAACTCCAATCCACACAGCCACAAATTAATACATTTTACTTTATAATTTTAAA